ATATTAACTCATGGGGCACTTCTGACCAATGGGAATTTTGCGTACGCTCCGTACGCATAAATCGACTTTTTACTAATAAAGGTCGCAGGCCGTTCCTCCTCCCAGCCTCTGCCTGACAACGGCCTGCGAGCAGGCTAGTGAAAGCTTGGAAAGAGGAAATTATACGAGTGGTTATTCTTCAAAAATTTACCGTGATTTTTTGTACTTTTGCAGCATGAAAACGGTGGAAATTTAAGTACACATTGCGAGGAACCTATTGGGCGAAACTCTTCCCAGCTGTGGCAAGAAATCGCCGAAACATTAACACATAAAAATGGCTTTGGCGCCGACGAGTTCAGATGCGTGCATGAGTATTGTCCACAGTTTAATGTGTCACAGGCAAGGCGGTGAAAGCGAAGCGTTTGCGAAGAGGGCTATCGAGAGTTTGGTCAAGAAGTTAAAAGAGAAACGAGACGAATTGGAGTCTTTGATAACAGCTATAACGACAAACGGTAGTCATCCTTCAAAATGCGTGACAATACAAAGAACTTTGGATGGCCGTTTACAAGTCGCTGGAAGAAAGGGTTTCCCTCATGTCATCTACGCTAGAATATGGCGCTGGCCTGACCTACATAAGAACGAATTAAAGCACGTTCAGTTTTGTCGTTTTGCATTCGATTTAAAGTGCGATAATGTCTGCGTTAATCCGTATCATTACGAGAGGGTTGTGTCGCCAGGTATTTATATTTTGTTATGTTGATTTTCATTGTTCGTCGAATAATGCTTAAAGTTATTGTTTTTCGTTGCCTGCCTTGTATTTGTATAGTAATACTGTATACATATTATAAATTTATGTTGGTTAAGCAAACTTCAAGACATATAAAGGAGGAACCATGTTTTATAGTCAAAATGACACTTACAATCAATTAGTGAATACTTCTAGCCCATTGAGTGGCAGCACTCTTCCCTTGCCAAGTAAAATCATCTGGCGTTAGCCAGAGCGAGATAATAAAGTAGGCCGCATCATGGCACAGTGCAGTTTAATGGGTTGACAAGTATTTACTAGTTACAGTTTGTGAAATATCCAAATGACGAATCCTGTATTGCCTTATGTCTGGCAGATACCTCTAATTAACAGAAATTGCAACATTCCCTGTTGTGTTCCATTCCACTTGGACCACAGCTCTCCTTGGAGGGAACTGGAAGTTAACTCCCTCTCCTCGTAGTATATTTTATTATTAACAGAAGTACAGTAGATTTTACACCAGTTGGCAGAAATTTCCTCTGTCAGGCGATCTTTTCTAGAACGACTCAATCGAGTTTTGACTTTTGACTCCAGTATCCTACCCGGGTCGCAATCCCGGTGGTTAGGGAACTCCACCCCGAAGCCGGCTAGAAATCGAGCCTAGGGTAACCCCTTCCATTAGCATTTGCAATCCACAAGAAATAGGCAGCACAAATCAGTGTTTGGTATGTACTGTACTTCACTTGATTTCATAACACATGCACAGATATAGTCATTTATTATTATAGTACAGAGTGAGGTACTGAGAAATACACATGCACAGTGACATATTTTCCATATCTTCACTAGTGAAGATATCGATCACGTGACTTTTTGTATTTATACAATTTTTTGCTTGAGACTATATAATAAACAGAACATTACACAGTGACTTGAAGATATGACTTTTATCTTCTCGTGTTAAAAACAATGTTTTACTCACTTGCTGTGCTTGTTCGTAAAATATTGTTTTCACCACTCAAAGATAAAAGTCATATCTTTGTGCCGCCATGTAATATCCTCTATATCTTTTCTATGACATACATGATTTATTTTATGTTTTGTAGACCTTGGGATATCACTAACCCGTGGTAAGTTTTCAACTTCAGTTCACTATCTAAGTAGTCGTATTGCACAAATCGTTTATCTAATGATTAGCTAGTAAGCCACAATGCAGCCAAATTTAACCTACAGTAAGTAAGGCCTAACAAGAAATGTCATGTGGTTCCCATTTCATATTCTAAAAAAATTGGGTGGGTGGGTTGGAAAATAATTCTTTTTGCTTATTAACATTGATCAGCAATGGCCATGATCAGGTGCCACTGGCATAACACATAAGCATTTCAAGAAGTAATAACTATGGGCAACAGACACTATTTTTGGAGTTGGTAGGTATACTACGGATGTCACCAAAGTGTGCAAACGCTCAAAAATATGTATCATGTTCATGCCCACAATATTTTTTTTCATGTTTACAATTTTTTAAACAGCCAATTGGCACTTAGTAACTAAGTGCCAATTATAGTAAGATATTGATTGGCAGATATTGATTAGAATTGTATATACTTGAAAAGAATATGTAGACGTGGCCGAGGGGTAAATTACTCTGAAAATCTTTGTATGCTTCATCAAAAATAAAAAAATCTTACTAAATCGTAGAATCCCAAAATCCCAAGAAATCTCTAAAAATTGCATAAAATACTTGGAAAACCTCAAAATTATTGCAATACTCAATATTCTAATAATTGGTGTGAAAATGCCCTCTTCGTTGATTTGCCTCGTTTTAAAATAATTTGACAGATTATATGTCAGATTATTTGACAGATTGTATGGTTTTTTCAGAGTCCCTCAGTTGTAGCTGTGTTTGTAGTCTTGAACATGATATGAATTTCTGTTTGTTCTCACACAAAAGTAACATCCTGTGGTTGGTAAAGCAAAAAAACTAAACAAATAAAAAAATAGGGAGGCTTGGTCAGGAAACCGGAACTACCGGATATTTTTTGTTAGGCCTCATGAATTAATATTATACAGTTATGAGTAGTAAAACTAAACATTTTCTTAAAGGGGATCCAAGTTTTCACCCTCCAGATGTACATCCTGATAGACAAATTCATCATTATCCTGGTAAGGTTATAATTTATATTTAACCCATTGAGCACCAGCACTTTAGTAAAATAATCTGTTATTAAATATTTTTCTTATACCAGATGGACAAGCAATGGGTCATTCTGCTGCTGTAGATGTCAAGACAATAAATGGTCAAGTAGTTGGAATGTTAATACATTACAGTGTATGACCACTGAGTACAATCTGTGACGTAATTCTTTCCGTTTACTCTAGGTTGGCCAGGTCAACAACCTGCTACGCCAAGCTATCCTCAACAGTCAAGTACAATCCAATATTGTAGGTTTCCTATGATCTGCCTCAAACACGTCATTATTCTCACTTGCCGCATTTATAGATGTACTGTTATTTACAGTCTAATTTCTTTTCCACATAGGGGATCAGAAACAAGTCCCAGAGTGCGAGATGCCTGGTCCGTTATCCAAACATCCTCGTAAGTTCTCATTGGAACATTTCTCAATGATTTAAGCCCTTGGAAAGTTAGGCAGGGTGTGATAAATCACATATTGATGTACCGGAGGCACACCAGTATTACGGTCTGGTACTTGTTTTTTAACCATGTACCACATAAGTGTGCAGAACTCTTGTTATCAATGTAGTTATTACTTTGGATGCTTTTGTCAGTTCATCTCGCCCGAAAAAACGTGTTGTGTTTTACTGTAGTGTCAGAATACTCAGGAATGTTACTACAGTATTATTAGCAACTTTAGCATAATTTATTGTGGACCAATCAGGGGTAGCCATTTCCACAATAACAGTGTTTTGTTGTCTGCCCATCTTTGTAAACATGGCTAGGAAAATCTTTCCTGGTTTTCCTTGGGCTTTATTGTACATCAGTATGATACTCAATTGTGTGGCAAATGATGTTGCATTTTCGATATAATTTTGTTTCAGCCCCCGACCATTGGTCATCTATTGCTTATTTTGAATTGGATCAACAAGTTGGTGAAATATTCAAAGTACCATCCAACTGTTCTTCTGTCACAATTGATGGTTATGTTGACCCGTCTGGTGGTCATCGGTTTTGTTTGGGTCAACTTTCCAATGTCCATAGAACTGAAGCAAGCGAAAAGGCAAGATTACATATTGGTAAGTGGACGCAGGAGTTGACAAAGTCGAGATTGCTGGGACCGACGGTCGCCATAGACACATCCAGGGGTGGGATCCAGCAAGGTTTTTGTAGGGGGGGGGGTGCTGGGTGAGCAGCCAAGTATAATTCTTTATGGGGTTGTGGGAGAGCATTCAAATGAATTGGCTTCCTAACCACTCAAGCGCTGAAGGTGCAAGCTCCCAAGGGGGTTCAGGGGTATCCCCCCGGAAACTTTTGAAAATTAGAACCCTAGAAATGCCATTTCCTGCGATATGGGCATTGAATTATGAGCTTCAGTTTGACTTCAAAAAAGGAAAAAGCTTGGAAATTGTGCCATATTTCTGAATTAGATTTTATTGCACCCCCCTTGCACCCCAAGGCCAACAGGGGTGCGCACCCCTGTTCACCCCCCGCCCTATAAATCCACCCCTGGATACATCAGAAATGAAAATTTCTTGCAGGCACATTTTCTGAAATTTTTCGAAACCGAAGATATAAAATAAATTCTCATTTTTTTATGCAAATTCTTAATCTGTTACCAGGGCAGGAAAAAATAATTTTCTTCCGGGAAGCACAAACTGGAGACACAAATTTCCTGCAGACCAACGGAGTATTTTTGTGCTAAATCTGCATGTGCATAAACATATAGTGTTCTTAGACCATGGTTTTAAATTCAAGGAATAATGTCTGTCAGCCATTTGTTGTTGCGCCCATAGTGGGACATGGGTTTCCTTCAAATTTTCAACAGCAAATCTTCATTCAAACGAATTTCCTGACTATTAGAGACATTGTCTGATTTTTTGGTTAACTCATTGAGCTGCAGAGCTTCCGTGTTACACAAGTAAAAAAAACTACTGTAGGTAGGGCGCACTGGGGTGCATTCGCATGCTCGCCTATTTTTTCCACCCCTGTCTGCTATTAGTCTATTAATTTTTTTGTTAATTGGCACCAATTTGAACTAGGGATCCAAGGATAGTGTGAAGTTTCAAATTGAAAAAGACACTGCAAGAACTATATAGGGTCGCCGACAACCTAGAAAAGCTGATGGCTTACACTACGAAATAAACAGTTACCAAAGGCATTTCATCTCATTATTTATTGCTTTTAATACGCTCGGCACACGAGTAGCGTGACGTTTGAAACAAGCCTAACACATCAGAACCTTGTGAAACTGATGCAATTTATCTATTTATTGTGATGCTACACGCGACAATTCGAAATTTAAATTGTTTCACCAACAACCAAATTTTGCATATTCTGAATTTTCATTTGCAGCTGTCGCTAAAAGCATCCCCACTAGGCTACTGCTATATGCTAAATTTATCTAAAACTATAATTGAAATAGCTGTATAAGATATGTTATGAATAATAAGCACTACGTCGTTACATCATTAAAAGGACGCATTTTATCCTCATCCGTTCCGTATTTTGTCCGCATATTCGTTCCGTGGATCCGCTCCATCCGCTTCCGCATTTTAACCTAATTGTGACATGTTTCACAATAACAAGTCTCATTGACCTTTGACTTTTCTCAGTGTCACGTCTATTTTCAGCTTTTCGCATGTGTTGAATATATTAATGTCACTTTAGATTTCAATAGTTTCACAGTTAAGCAGTGTTTAAATTAAAGCAGGTTTGACAAGCTTCGATACAGTTCTGTGTACAGAATACTACAGATTGATTCTCGTAAGATCTGGTAGAGTTATCGTCGCACTGAACACGAGTTTGCACCGTTGACAACGGCGTTGTGCTAGACAGTAAACAAAGAGAAGGTCCGTGACAGTACACGTTGGCTACATGTACCTCCTTGCTTTTTTCTTCTATTGCATAAAGCTTGTTGGCGAGCCAAGCGATTGGCGATAACACGTTGGCAATAACACATTGGCTATCTCCTCGTCTTTCTTATTTAAATAAGGAGCTCTGACTCAACTGATTTCTTTAGTCTCGCAAGTTATTTTCCTCGTAAACGCCGTACAAACGTTTACCCGTTTAATAGTTGTTTATGCTTTATTGATCTAGTACAGATCTGATGCAATTTTTCGCTCTTTGTACTGAGTGTAGCCATCTATTCTGTGATGTAGCACCTTATACAGTCAATGACAATGTATTCATTATACAGTCTAAATAATATCGGTGGGCACTTACATATTAATTGATGCCGGTATAAATGCATAACATAAATTTATATATTGTATTATTGCGTAGAATCTCGAAGATTTTCTCAATATTCATGTCTGAAATGTTTATATACTTGAAAACAACACTGTCTCGCTTCTGCCTACGTACTGTACCTCTGTATAATGAGTATGCCGTGAAAATAATATCGGCACTCAATTGAATGCCTATAGAATCTCAAAGATTTTCGACTCAATATAACAATATTTACGTCTGAAATGTTTATACACTTGACTGCACTGTCTAGGCGGTCTAACTCCTTCCTAGCTCTGTATAACGAATATACCGTCTAAATATTATCGGAACTTAATTGAACGCCCGTAATGCATAAGATCAATTTATATTTTGCGTAGATTTTCAAAGATTTACTCAATATTCACGTCTCAAATGTTTATACATCTCAAAACTTCTCTGTCACTCCTTCCTTGCATATCGTCACGCCATCGTGATCTACGGCTTGATAGCGCATGCGCATTTGCGCTACTAAAGAAAAAATCGGGTGTTCCGGGGTAAAGATCCTTTACACAACATGCATGAGAAGCGAATGTTCTAAAATTTACAAAAAATTACAATAACGAAAGCGATTCCTCGATATTTTGTGAACTTGGCAAAAGGATAACAGAATATGTACATAAGTTAACTGAAATTGCCTAAATAACCTTCAAAGCACTGACTAAGTACGATAAATCACTACGAACATATATCGTATACACCCCCCGGAAAGTTTACTGTATGACTGAATGAATGAATGAATGAATGACTGACTGACTGATTCGTGTGAATTTCCCCCCAGTCATCACAATACTGTGAAGTTTCGAAGAAACTTCACACTAAAAACCAGCAAGTGACCAACTTTTTTGACCGAATATTTGCAGGAAACACCCTATTGCATCGGAAACACCCTATTGCTAAATGGTTACATAGATGGCATTGCATACAATATAAAAATAAATAAAATAACAGACCCAATTATTTACATATATAACTATAACAAGACTAACGAAAAGTCAATGTTTTCTTGTTTGAAAGGCTTCATAAATGAAGTGCGCTTGAAAAAGGAAGAGTATTTTATCTTTTTTATTAAGATTAATATAACAGGGATATTTCAGAATAATATCGTTATAAAGTTTTTCTCTTTTCCATTTATTAAGAGTGCATTCGAGAAGAAAATGAATTTCATTTTCTATATCTTTGGATTCACAATTTTGACATATTCTTAAATTTTCAACATACCTCATTAAGGTTTCAATATACCTCTTCTCAAGGCCATAATAGGTAACCATAATAACTTCTTAATGAAATATTATTTCAACAGGTAAAGGAGTGAATCTGGAATTACGTGGTGAAGGTGACGTGTGGGTGCGCTGTCTCAGTGAACACAGTGTGTTTGTTCAAAGTTATTATTTAGACCGCGAGTCTGGCCGCTCCCCAGGCGATGCTGTACACAAGATCTATCCAGGTGCATATATCAAGGTCTTTGATCTGGGTCAGTGTTTCAGACAGATACGTCAGCAAGCGCATGCTGCCCAGTCGGCTGCCGCTGCTCAAGCGGCCGCTGTGGCAAGCGGTGTTGGCCCTGGAGCTCTCATGCCAATTTCTCAGCTTGGTACAGGTGAGTAAACACCCCATGTATGTTTGTGATGTTACTCTGAGTGTATATCCACACCGGGCAAGCTTGAAAAATATGCCTGAGTAACATCAGTCTGAGAGTAACATCACAAACATCATATTCACCTGAGTACATAATACCAACACAGACAAAAATCATGATTATTAGATTGCATTGATATCGAAGGAACTAGACTCAGTTCCGAAATATCACATACTCGAACCGATCTGATCGCGTAGCTCAGTTGGTAGAGCATTGGGCTAGTATTCCAAAGGTCGTAGGTTCGATTCCCACCGTGGCCAGGCATATTTTTCAAGCTTGCCGGGTGTGGATATACACTCAGAGTAACATCACAAACATATTCACCTGAGTAGATAACACCAACACAGACAAAAATCACCCCATGTATAGTTTAAGTTCTATCAAAGGAAATATGGCTGTGAAACTTCATTTGAATAACAAATAACTCATTATCTATGTTAGTCAACGTTTTATTCGTAAATCTGGTCCTAACTGACCAATAGCAATGTTTTAGGAAAGTTACCTAGTATCCAGGACTCGAACAATAGGGAAATTGTTATTGGTGGATTTGGCAAAAATACAATACGCACGTGACGGTGAAGGACCAGATTTATGAATAAACGTTGACTAACATAGATAATGAGTTATATTGTTATTCTAATGAGTTTCACAGCCATCTTCTCTTCGCGGATAGGCTATGGTTACTTCTAAAGTAAAACTGTCACATGCCAGATGATATTACTGCAGTAGTGGCATAGTGCACTTTGTCCAGGAAAAGTTAACATAAAAAATATTCATTTCATTAGGCATTGGTGTCGATGACCTTCGTCGTCTGTGCATATTACGTATGAGTTTCGTAAAAGGCTGGGGACCGGACTATCCGCGCAAAAGCATCAAGGACACGCCATGTTGGATCGAAATTCATCTCCACCGTGCTTTACAGTTACTGGACGAGGTGTTGACAGCAATGCCGAGCGGCGATCATAGACCGCACGAGATGTAGGAACAGTGTAGCTATACTACTAAAACATATACCCATGTGTTCCTTATATGTATACATCAGATAATCGTATTTAACGATATTACAACGTCACAAGAGCAATTCAAGTTAACTGTTCGACGATCGAGGAATTTGGAAACAGTACCACAAATCCTCATCAAGGTGCTAAGGGAACATGGACATATAGCAATATCAGGCAATACATTGTAAAAGCCTCTCAATGATTTGAATGAGAACTGATTAAGTGACTAAGCTTTACATTGTTTTTAAAGCCAGGTTATAATAGGTCATTTTAATAAGCAAATTTGCATGGAATTGACCTGTGAAGTCAGGGTGTGATAATTTGCGGACTTGCGTATACCGGAGTAAAGCTGATATCGCTGTCTGGTGCTTCTTTGTTGTTTACTGCCAGACTAAACTAGACAGTCTAGACTACCTATTTGCGTATTCATATTTTGCTTTACCAAAACGACCAGAAAACTTTCCATAAACCTTAATGGGTATTGGCAATAAAATTTAAATATGTTTAGACTGAAAGGACTCCTTAAACTGTAGAATAAGTCATTTTACAATTTTTTTATATCTTTCTTTGGTTAGAAGATATTTCAGTTTATATAATACCTTATTGATTTCTGATCGTTTACTTGGCTGTTTATGGTCACGTGATATTGAATAGAAAATTCCATTTCCCAAGAGTGCAATGGAATACGTTCCATTGCACTCTTTGCGAGTGCAATTGTACTATACGTTTTATTCCATTGCACTCTTTGTGTTTTCGATAAATCATATCCATCAAAATGCTACTCATACGAATCTATTAGTCTATTTTGGTATTATATAAAACAAATAATTAATGTTTATTCGTGCAATGGTAAGAATATACTCATTCGGTGAAAGAGGGAATGTTCCATCTCTCACCTAATGAAAATATTCTTACCATTGCACTCATAAACATTCATTATTTGTATATTATTTATATGTACTGTAAATAAGATGACGTCAAAAGCGGGATAAAGTGTTTGATAGACCACAGGACTCTTAAAAACTGCATGTATAAATTTGGATGCAAGATTAATCAATAGAACCATCGATCGATATTGGCCTGAATGACTTCCTCCATTTTGAACAGCGAGCTAGCTTCCGACTTTGGCGCGATTACCAATCTTTGAAAATAGTTTTACCAGCTTGTGACGTCATAAATTTATTTCATTTGTATATCAAACCATGGATAATAAAATAAATTTATTTTATCTTTATTTTATCCTAAAATATCTCAATAATGAAAAGTGATGAGAAAAGTTGTAAAATAACTTATTTTACAGTTTAAAGAGTTCTTTCTATCAAAACAGACTTGAATTTCATTGCCATTCCCCTTTTAATTTAAGTAGCTGAAACATGATTGAACTGAGAATAGACAAGAAAAGTTGCCATCAATTGTGTTTAAACATGTAATTGTAACTCGTTTTGGTTTAGCCCTTTCAGTTTAACGCATCCTGAAATCTTCATTTGAGTTTGTAGAAACGAAGATTTACAGTGCTTGCGCGACAACAGCTGGTATTATATTGGCAATTACCGAGTTTGCATCCAAAAATGTCAGCCACTGTTTAGTAGTTAGAGAATAGAGCATACATGTATACTGCTGTACCTATAGATACAGTAGATGAAACGATGTAGTATATTACTGTACAGAGATAATACAAAGGAACAATTACCATTGTGGTTTTGTTGTGTTAATATAATTTAATCACTTTCGAGGCTTTCGTTTTCCTAGTTTAGGTATACAGGGTACGAATTAATAATTTTTCTGGCCTTTTCAAAAATCGTAGGCCATGCTAGTTTTGACCTACAAAGTTAAATTTTGAATTACAAAAGTGTTTTTCTAATATTCAATTTTAGTTTTGTTTTGCGATGAAAGTTTTCTCTTTTGCTGTCAAGAAGTTTATCTGGCAAGGAATTCCGAGTGTTTAAAACTGACTGAAGAGTTGGCCTACAAATTTTTCCATGAAATTGTAGGCTAATTTTTTGGCCTACAACATACCTAATTTTAGCGGTGTGCAGTGATAACCAATTTGTGCAGTGATAAAAGTAAAATGTGCAGTGATAAAATGTAAAATGTGCAGTGATAAAATTTGCTTTGATAAGTTGTTAATTAACACAAGAGAATGATTTAATTGACCATTTGCGTAATAGACTAAATTTTGATCTGAACAAAAATTTCAATACAGCTTGAAAGAACATCACAAAATTAGTAATATTCCAAAATTTCGTTGCAAAATGTTGTAAAATGCGGAAAATATAGCCTTGCGAAGTTTACAATTTTCAGTCATTTTAGATTACAAACCGGAAATTGACAGCCTCGAAGGGTTTGGGGCTGTCAATTTCCCGTTTGTAATCTAAAATGACTGAAAATTGCAAATTTCGCAAGGCTATATTTTCCGCATTTTACAACATTTTGCAACGAAACCTTGGAATATTACTAATTTTGTGATGCTCCTTCAAGCTGTGATGAAATATTTGTCTAGACTTGTTTAGTTCAAAATTTAGTCTATTACGCAAATGGTCAATTGAAATTGAAATGATGACTGTCAAATTATCGAATTAAATAATAGTATATGTTTTTTGTACGAAAATCATGAGATTCAGGCAATTTTTAGTTAATATCTGGCTTTTGGTATGTCGGGAAAAAATTTTTGACCCTTAAAATGGTACACTGACCAAAATCTTAGTCATTCGGAAATTTTTGGCATAAAATGTGCAGTGATAAAAAATTCTTAAAATTAGGTATGGCCTACAACTTATGACGATTTGTCATAAGTAAGCTGCTAATTTGCACCCTGGTATATCCACAGTCAAACCAGTCTGAAGGCTAATTAAGATGCCAAAGAGATAGAACATATTGACCCTTCCCTTGACGAGTAAAATCATCTGGTGTTAGACAGAGTAACTAATAAGGTGGAGATTTGGGTGCATTGTAGTTCAAATGGTTGAACATCGATGCTGATATTACAAAGAGGAAATTGTATTACATACTCAAAATATCATCTGATCATTTCTGTTTTATAGATGTTAAATTTATATGTACCCTATTTGCTTTCTATTCTAGTGATGAGTTTTAGTCCCTGCTGTCCTTATAAGTGATGGTTGGCTTTTATTAGAAAAAATAGATGTGAATTTTGTGGGGACTTAGAGGTGTCCGCATTAGAGAGACGCCCATAAGGAGAGGTTCGACTGACTGTATCAATCGTATTACGATATGGTTATAACTTACAGGGAAGCCGGAACTGGGGGGGGGGCAGCCGCCCCCGTTGCCCTTTACCAGGAGGGGCAAGGGGGGCAAAGGTGCCCTTTCAATTTGAAGGATTGCCTTGGCGAAATAGCAAATTGTCAGAAATGTTAGTGCAATTCTTTTACGAATTTGCTTCAGAAAACGCAAGAAATGCAGTCATCGAGCTTCAAGAATACCACAATCGCCTGGCGGAGAACTCCCTCACACCCCTATCATCCAATAAATAGAAAACATGATTAGGCGAAGTTCAACTCCCGATGTTTTGCAAACATCTCTTAGTATATATCAATTCAAAAGTGCCCTTTCACGAAAATCTGCTCCCCTTGCCTTCACATCGTTCCGGCGTCCCTGATAACTTACATGCTCCAAGTAATGCACCTATACTACAGTGTATGTCTAGGAATATTTGTGTATGTCTAGGAATATTGTGTATGCATGGTGTTGATGTTGTTTACAAGTCATGTCTTGTCCACTGGTCCACAGTTTTCTCAAAATTCCTATTGGAAGAAATTTTTGGGGAAAAAATTTTTTCACAAGTTTTTAACAGATGATCAAAGAGGATCAAAATTGCAAATAGGGTACATAGGGTGCAAAATTGCAAATACGATCAAAAAAGCAAATAGGGTACATACAATTTGAAGTTCTTGAAAAGTTTTTTCAAATTGCATGAGAAACCATATACTAGAAGATATGACTTTTATCTTCTCGTGTTAAAAACAATATTTTACTCACTCGTTCGTAAAATATTGTTTTCACCATTCGAAGATAAAAGTCATATCTTTGCGCGGCTGTGTAATATCCTCTCTATATATAATTGTTACAATTACAGTCGTTATACGCCCTGGTTTAATTTATGTGGCTGGTTTGGCAGTGAGTTCTCGTTCTAAAACTAATTCACGTTCTCGTCTCTGGGCTTCATCCTCATCTTTCTTTTGTCTTTTTTCCTTCAACTTTAAAGATCTTTTCTATAAATGTTTAAATTAGAAAATGTTATTTTGTTAAATTTTTACTTTATAATTTCATGCTATAAATTTTTCATAAAAGCCAACTTTTTAATATATTGGAACAACCTTTAATTTGCCCAGTCGTTCGTCTAAATGATCCATGTCATTTTTTATCTTCTTCAATTTGACATAATATGATTGTACTACAGATACCTAAAAATATTAGATAAAAATATTTTTCCATTGCTAAATTGCTATGTAAAACACCACACAGAAAAAAATCATGATTACTAAGTTGCATTGATATCGAAGGAACTAGACCCAGAACCAACCTGACCGCATATAGCTCAGTTGGAAGAGCATTGGGCTAGCATTCCAAAGGTCGTAGGTTTGATTCCCACCGTAGCCAGGCATATTTTTCAAGCTTGCCCGGTGTGGACATACACTCAGAGTAACATCACAAATATCATATTCACCTCACAGTACATAACACCACACAGAAAAAATCATGCCATGTAAAGGTTTTGTCAAACATCAGAAAAGTTTCATTCCACATATTACATGTACATTATTTTTCTCATAACATTGATACATGTTAAAATCTTTTAAAATTGTGAAAATCGACAAAAATTTTAAAATTATTTATAACATAAAAACGATTTTACATCTCTTTTTACCATTTTAGTCAACTCTTCCATCTCCTTGTTCTCAGAATATTTCTTGTTTTCTTGTTGAATTGTTTCAATTAAAATTCCCTGGTTTTTGCTGTGGAATTAAGAAGACTAGCTTGCAGGGCTTGCATGCAGTAACCATAATAATGTAAATCGATAATGTACCAAGCAATGACAATCTCTGTCTGAGGCAGTAACTTATTACATAGTATTATATAATAATTTGAGTTGAATCAGCCCTTTCTGTGCTTGAGAGCCACACCACAATCCATATGCACCATTTCAATGATGTAAGAGGCCATTCCAGTAAGATCCTAGCCCCCTCGCCCGGCCATAATTTCTGCCGTCCGGAGGGGGAGGGAAATGTACTTCTTGTAATAGTGAAATGTTCTAGGATATCCAAAGCCTGGGGTAGGAGGGTTGACTTCAATGTCATGTCTAAATGCTTAAAGAGGGCTGGGGATCGGGGAATACTTTGCATTCCCAGATTCCCTCAGAAATTCAAACGCTCATCGGGATTAAATACGGTAGTAAGATTGAAATGAGGATTTTGAACTAAAAATACAAAAATCTCAAAATGCCAACCTCAACAAAATACAAATTACTTTATATTGCTACAAATCATAAATAATCTGTTAATTAATCATACAAACATAGCACATCAACACTTACGTAATCTCTTTTGTCTTTTCTCTCAATTCCAACAACTGTGGCTGAACTTCGGACAAAAATCCATCCGTTAATTGAGACACCATTTCTTCCATATTTTCCGTCAACATAGCTGGCCCGGCAGAACTACTGCCTGACATTTCTGCCTGTGTAGAAACTGCACCAGATGTCTCAACTGAGGCTATCTCTGCGCTACTATTGTCAGTCCTACTAGATTGATCATTGTTGATCTCTGTTTTCTCCTGATTGCTTTCCATATTTCAATACAAAAAATGTTAGGCCTTGAAAAATTTATTTATATATCGAATTATTACTGAAAATACAGCAAAATGAATAGATTCCTTTTCGATTCTGTTGGCTGATCATGGTTTTATTTGCCAAATTGTGATTTAAAATTTTTAATAACAAAAATACGCTTTTTAAAATAAATTTGGCGGTAAAATGACGCAAAAGGCGCGAAATTGACCAATTGGCGCAATTTTCCGCGAAAATAAAGTAGCATTTTCTGATTTTCTGCAATATTTTGGAATAAAATACCATCGTTTCATCTTTTATTTAATTTTTCATTTCTGTACTTTTAAAAGGCGGGGGAATCTACTAATAATATAAAATTTGTACAATAGTACAATATATTCCCCTTCAAAATAGTCGCAATGTACGAGCGGTTAATAATTAATTAACACACACCTTGACAGTTTCATATTAAAATCACCAAATTCAAATCACCATGGCTGTTGAAAGGCAACTTTCGTATTAACATGTTTCGCTGTTTATCGGCCGTATGCGGCGTGGCCGTAGGCTCATGCCTTACCGTAAAATGTCTGAACTATTTTGAAGACCGAAATCTTTTGAATGCAGGAAACGTTGGCCTGAAATCCAAAAATCTCGAATTAAAGTTAGTGCAAGTTTTGTTCCGCCACGGCGCGCGAACACCGTTGAAGTTAATACCTGGTCTAGAGGAAACCGTTTGGAATAAATATGAACTAAGATACGATTTAGAGCATACGAAACTTGAACATGAATTGCGCAGTTTAAGAGCTGGCGAGCTTCCAGAAGAGAAAACACTGACTAGAGATGTTCTGAGGGTAGGTTTGTTTACTTCCGGTTTATAATTGATATATTTAATATTTGATATAGACAGATAATTGACAAATAACTAGTAATTGCCTTAGCCTTGTTTTTGCGGTTTCTACTGTCCGAGAATCTGATGGTCGTATTTTTCTCTCAATATTTGTGTAGCGGCACAATATTTGTATATATTAAACCATTAAGCTGCAATGTGCCCAAATGCACCCTATTAATGCCAGACAATTTTATCGTCAAGGAGAGATACTGCTGACCTTCATTGTGTTAATCGGACCATCTGCCCATGTGTTGAGTTAAGCCATTAAGTTGCGTTGTGCTTATAGATGTACCCCACTTTATCATTTTATACTCTGTCTAACACCAGACGATTTTACTGGTCAAGGGCAGTACGTGTGCTGGCATTTGATGGGTTAACCCAGTCATTAACCCATTGAGTGGCAGCACTCTCCACTTGATGAGTAAAAACGCCTGGCGTTAGACAGAGTAAAATACTCTGGCGTTAGACAGTAAAATACTAAAGTTAGAGCGCATCAGGGTTAATATAGATTGACATCTGTTTGTTTGTTCTGAATGTTGGTCGGATTTGTTTTTCAATCGGTCAGCTAACGTAGTCATGTACCATAGTAGATTTAGTAGATTTGGGGGGGGGGGGGTGACTGTGCTATTTTTCATGGTAAAGCAAAAAAATATTGAGACAAAATGAGATACAGTAATTTGAGTAATAACATGATGATTCAGGCGTGAACAACAATTATAGTTCAAATGCAGTAGTCAAGCAAGCTAGTACTGCTGTATGTTGATGGGTGGGCGGTGCACATGACCGACACAACTCTGCACCAGAGCTGGCAGAGAACCACCACCACCAGATCATGCTGGACCCATCCCTGATTTGTCCTCCCAAGTAACTATACTAACGAAATGTATTTTCATGTTTTAACTATTCTTCACCAGGGAGGATGCCTCATGGGTCAAATGACAGTAGTTGGCCAACAGCAAACATTTGATTTGGGCAGAGAACTGAAGAAATTATACATTGACAATTTGAATTTTATCGGTGACACATTTGATCCAAATACTGTCTTGTAAGTTTTTACATTCCCGTGTTAGCTTAAGCAGGATAAATGTAAGTGTGAAGTACATCATGACATTTTTGATTTGCAACTTATGTATTTTATTAGTCTTCGAACCACCAATATAGAAAGAACCATTGAATCATTGCGATGTGTTGTGGCTGGAATGTTTACAGATATAAAGGGTGTGATATTTCCTAATGTTTTTATTATGTGTAAATTAATTTAAAAGTGAAATTGTTCAGCATTAGTGATGAGATGTGTCTGTTAAGGATCACCAATTTTCCCTTGACGCATTAAGCTGCAATGCGACCAAATGTGCTGGACTTTATTATTGTATACTCTGTACATCTAATACCAGATTATTTTACTTGCCAAGGAGTGAGTCCAATTAATGAGAATAAAATAACAAAGTATATGGCATGTTAGGGTGCATTGTGATTTAATTAATGGCAATAATAAACTTTTGTGAAACTTGATGTGAAACTTTTTGACATTATACCATAAGTATCAACAATTTCTAAATCTTAAATAATTCAACATTCTACTTAGAACCAGTCATCTTTTGGACTCTACCGATAGCTGATGACATTCTGTTTCCAAACTGGCAGACATGCAAGGCTTTACGTCAGTATATAAAGTATTGTTTTCAAACTGGCTATCGACTGCCAGGATACAAAGAGGACCTTGAAATGTTTTCCAAAATGGTCGGGCAGCCTTTGTTTAAGAAAACATTTATTGAAATTTATGATGACTTGAACTGTCGAACAGTGAGTATAGTCTGTGTCATTTTTTGTTTGATCAACATATAAATTTATTTAAATTATGTCACATTATAATGACTTTAAATGTGTAGTTTTATATGTTAGTATTAGGTAATAAAGTTTGGTGTTATGTGTTATCTGTAGGAAAGTCTAACCACTTACTGATGTCAATGTAAAGATAGCTCTTTCTCCACAATTATTTTAAGACCTTGAGTAGAGGTCTGACCAAGAATTGAACCAGGGTCTCCCGGCTAATTGAAAGGCAAGCGTGGTGACCACACACTAATAAATCAATTATCTTATACAATTTGCTACATTTAATTTTATTTTTCCAGGCTCATAACAAGACTTACCCAGAAAACATCAAGAGTTTTATGAATGTCATTGAAAAGCATGCATTACAACATTTATCAGACTCGTTTTTATCTCCTCCGGATTGGACGAAGTATGTGGCAATTTGAAATTGTGACAATTTGAAATTGTAACAAATTAAGACAATGTTATAATAAATTAGTAAATAATAAATTATCGCAATTGAAAATGAATTGAAACATTTTTACATTTCTGACTAACAAACGTGCATATATATTTTTGTGTTTGTAAATAGGGGCTTAGTTCTTCCGTTGTCAAGTGGGCAACTGCTTCAAAATCTTTATGAAAACATGAAGTCAAAAGTCAGTAAAACAAAGTATGTTTTTTTTTAACGAAAACGTTTGCAAATTATTTTAAACTGACAGCAGCTCGATTTGACTTTAGGTCAGACGAACCAGCGACGCCGGAACGATGTGAAGGCAAGGGGGGCAGATTTTCGTGAAAGGGCACTTTTGAATTGATACTGATATACTAAGAGATGTTTGCAAAACATCGGGAGTTGAACTTCGCCTAATCATGTTTTCTATTTATTGGATGATACGGGTGTGAGGGGGTTCTCCGCCAGGCGATTGCGCTATTCTTGAAGCTCGATGACTGCATTTCTTGCGTTTTCTGAAGCAAATTCGTAAAAGAATTGCACTAACATTTCTGACAATTCGCTATTTCGCCAAGGCAATCCCTTAAATTGAAAGGGCACCTTTGCCCCCCTTGCCCCTCCTGGTAAAGGGCAACGGAGGAGGCTGCCCCTCCTGCCCCCCCCTAGTTCCGGCGTCCCTGAGACGAACCCTATTAAAACCCATTGTAAGTATCACTCATTTACATAATTTCTTTTATTGTTTAGCGAATACAAATTGTACTTGTATTCTATTCACGACACGACGCTGATAACTCTATTTTCCGCGTTCGATATGAAACTTGACAAGTGGCCGCCATTTGCAGCGTATATTTCCTTGGAGTTGTACGAAAATAAGGTAAACCCTGCTTTGTCAAGAGGAGAATCGTTTAGTAACACGCGCTCATGCAAAAGTCAAAACTGTATACTTTTCTCCTTGGACTTGGTCAGACTATATTCTTTTTTTCTAAATTATTATGCTAAAATGAAGAGATTTTAGATGGTACGCCAAAGAGAAAATGATGTCTGAAGTTCAGAAAATTTTGCTTATATTGCTGTATAAATATACGGCGTCAATTTTACAACATATCAATGATTCAACTATTATTTTGTGTTTCTCAACCGTCAGATACATTTAAAAAGGTTGCCAACTCACAACTGTGTAAACTACAAAATAAAGCTAAAAAAAAAGTTTTGAGAGGAATCGAACGCCAAAATAATTTTAGGTTCGTAAATACGCGACATTAGACAGATTTAGATCGAGGACGTCATACGACGTCAAAGACGACGTGAAAATGACGTGTTGTGCCCATGTATGGATATGCCACGCCATTTTGACGCCATTTTCACGTCGTCGTTGACGTCCGCGTCCTCGATCTATGTAAATCTGTCTATTGAAAAGTTGCAGCGGATCAATTTATGTTTTGGGCCAGTAGGTTGGTATGAAAACTCGGAAAATTTACATAAAATTTCGCATATGAAATTTAATGTGAAATTGGAACATTTCACATGTGAAAATTAGAATTTTCACATGTGAAATTTAAGTTCCACATATTTTTCACATGCAAGGATCATATTATATGTGATTGAAAATTAATTTCACATGTGGAATTGGAACGCTTCACATGTGAAAAAAACCCCATCACAGTCAATCATCATGCGCGAAATTTAGAATTTTCACGTTCCAATTTATTTTTTAGGATGGTGGCCATTTTGTTCGCATGCTTTACTGTGGGGATGTAAGTAGACATATAGTTTCTTTACAATTTTGAATTTAATTAAAAGCGTAGTTTTGAAGCGTTTCTAACCGGTATGGTTTCTTACAGGTGGTGAAATTTAAGAAATGTAACAAGGAATTATTACCGTTATCTGAGTAAGAATATATTAAAACATGCATGCGTTTGACTCTTGTGTACGAGATAGTCTTGTGTCTTTAGATTGTGTGAGATATTTGACAATTTTCTCATTTCATTTCAGGTTTAAAGAAATAGTCACGCCTCTCATTGTCGACGATGTGGATAAAGCTTGTCAGACAATCTTTCACATACCCGAACACTAACGATCACAAGAATATCTGTGATTATAACTAATTAACATAAAATGCGAAACAAGAACCAAAATATTTTATTCTGGAAAACAATTGCTAAGCAATATGTAATACTGTGACTGAAAAGATGTCATTTGCCGGACAGTTGTACAAAAGCCAGACAGCGATGATTTTTACGAGATTTTTTAAAACCACTCAGTTTTGCCCTCTAAATGAATGCGGGACCATTTACATTATAGACTAAATTTTGATCTAAACAAGTCTAGTCATCCCAGCTTGAAAGAGCATCACAAAATTAATAATATTCCAAAGTTTCGTTGCGAAATGTTGTAAAATGCGGATAAGGCCACATAAAATAAATTCCTTGATTCTCATCACTAGACTTTGAAAATGTCGAAGAGCCGGGAGGTTTATATTTTATATTTTATATTTATATAATTTATCATCAATAAATAAAAAAATCATTCCTAACATTTAATATTTCTGTGATTTCCAAAGTGAAGTGTCACAAACCAAAATGAACATATTTCTCCACGAACAATGACTGAACCCCTGAACTGAATGCGAAGTTCCGTTAAAATGCACTGAAATTTCTTTCGAAAGGTTCGATTTGTTTGAAATTGGAAGTTTAAAATGGCACTAAAAACCCAATTTTAAATACAAAAAACTTAACTGTCACATGAAATATTTTGTCGGGCAGTTCATTTATATTGTATAACAAAATATAAAAAAAATTCACGCGGCTCTTAAAATACAGTCGGGCGGTGATGAGAATCAAGGAATTTATTTTATGTGGCCTAATATATAGCCTTGCGAAGTTTGCCGTTTTTCACTCATTTTGCATTCCTTTGGGGCTGTCAATTTCCCGTTTGTAATACAAAATGACTGAAAAACGGCAAACTTCGCAAGGCTATATATTAGGCCACATTTTACTACATTTCGCAACGAAACGTTGGAATATTAATAATTTTGCGATGCTCTTTCAAGCTGTGATGAAATTTTTGTCTAGACTTGTTTAGATCAAAATTTAGTCTATAATGCAAATGGTCCATTATCTAAAAAAATTCTTTATATAAAATGCTCAATGTTGTTTGGGTAATAATGATCAATGACCAATTTAAAAAGATTCATGAAAAATACTATGTATCCAGCTGGCTACCCGCTTTTGTACAGCCGCTGCCCTTGCTTATATTCACCCGTGGAATGAAGTTATGAAAATGTTATAAATATCACAATGTCGTTAGGCATTATAAATACAATAAATGTCTTTTTACTGGAGACTCGCATTTATAAATCTCACTTGTCCTGGAACAGCACCGGAATATTTATGCAGGAGATAAATATGGGAGAACACATTAATGTACCAGAAATTCTGGATCTCCGATCATAAACATCCCTTTAATTTTCACTGAAAAGCGTAAACTGGCAAACGGACATTTTATTTTAGTGCTGTCTCCCCAATGGAATTAATGCTGTTCCGGAGTACATAAAATCTACATTATCTATACATATTTTTAAACATAAAGTACGCAATAGACTTTACTGTCTCTTGCATGCATTTTGCCCCAATGGCCTCGTTTCTATGATCGCCTGTTTTACAGGCGATCATACATCTTTGATCTACAACCTAATCACAAACCTAAAACATGAGCAAATAGGTCAAATGGAAAACGAGAGGTCATAGGTGGCCGGGCAATGATGGCGCAGTATAAAGCAGAACAGTCTATTAGTATTATCTTTACTATTTAAAACATGAGCAGCAGTGTTTTATCAGATATCACTGCAATTGTTTTAAATTGCTTCAAAAACGATCGATCTAGTAAGTTCACTGGCGAAGTGATAAAAATACGTTGTATAAGTCGAGACAATCAAAGACAAAGTTAAAGTTTATGAGGCGGTAAATCAAAGGAAATCTCTATCACATATAAAAATACGACACGCTTATGATTTTTCTTTGTTTTTTCCTCATATCTTCCTTGAAAGATATTACAGCATAGTTCGCTTCTTTATACAGTAAAATATAGTCTAGAATGATTTTTATGTAATTGACTCGGAAAAGCCTCGATCTTTGAAGAGCGTTCTATAAAGTATTGTGTTGCATTGTATTGTACTGTAGTAGTATCCTCGCTGAGTACCAAACAACAGCTTAAGTTTCTGCATTTGCCGAGATTTGCAATGGTGCTAAATCAAGCATGAATCTGCCAATGCCTGCCTATACCTGCCCTTACAACCAGCATTATAAAGCTTTTTTTTAAGAACCAGCTGTGTCACTTGTCGGCCTGAAGTGTTTGTTGGCTTTGGTGCTCAACTGCCTGAATTTCAAGGCTGGTGGTGATAGGTCTCAACCTATTGGTTCTTTTTTGCTGGTTTTTACTGTAAAGACAAATAACTCTACTTTCACATTCAAACCAGTTTTGAGAATACTCGGTAGTCACACCCCCAATTATATTGTATCCCGCAGGGTACCTTTCAAAAGAGACACTTTGCCCTACGAAGCTGTACGTACTTCCGTTAACTAGTTGTTAATGCCGCCTGCTTTGATACATGTATGCTGAAGTCTAAAGTACGTAGTGTTTGAAATGAGAAGGGTAGAAAAGATGGTGGCCAGCATGGGATTAACCTACAAGCCATTGCTGTCTATTTTATTGCTTTGCATAATCATGGGTAAGTCACAGGGTATATTAATGTCTCATCATTTGCAATTTAGGGATTACTAGCCTGATTTGTATGTTTACAATTGAACTTCGCCAACTAATATGGACATATGGTCAAATGGTCAGACCATAGAGCTAATTTTACGGGACTTTGATACAGTATGCCAATCTCTAATGGTTTTAGGAAAGCTATAGCATAGGTATTTAACCGCCAGACAGTTTTTTTTTACAAATAAAATCATCACGAGACAAATGTACACAAAGCAATATTAGTTGGAAAAAACTCTTTGACTTGTTTTCAATCAAGATTAAAGACGTGACTTCTCTTCAATATATGTTTTATTCATTGGCTAGTATATAAATATGCATAATCTAGGTTATACCATCTATGTCTGTTGCTAAAATACCCAGTTACCTTCTGGGGTGAGTTTGACCTTGATATGTCATGTTGCAGTTTTGCAACATTTGTCAACGAATGACAAAGGCTAAATATGCGCGCGCTATTAAAATGACTTCAACCGCGCCATAAATAACCATTCTGTAAGTAAGTGTCTCGATGATTTGTAAATCTACTGTCTACGTGCACGCAGTAGTGTTCACTTGACTTGACGATAGCTCGCCATTCCGGGATTGTGTTGATCTTTTTGTTGCATGCCTAGTCCTGTGCGTGGAAATGAAAACAAAGCTGAGGTGAACTTTGGCGTGCCTTGAAAATGCGCAAGCAATTGTAGTCCTTTATATAAAAGCCTGAAACAGAAACTTAGGCTTATGACCTTTCACACTGAATTGGAATTTCTCAAATTTTTGATACCCTAGTGTTATTTTTCCAATCAAAATTACATGAAACATGCAAACATATGTAGACGGATTAAAGAATAAATCTATGTTCTCAAATGCGAGCTCAAATGCTCTACAGCATTCACAGAGAGGGGATTCACACTTTACTGGTGTTCTGTAGTCATAGTCATAGTCATAGTCAAGGACTATGTTTTGGCATGTTTACAGACTGCATGACCAGACTGCATAAGGTTACAACAGCATTGAAACTTAATACTTTGAATCTGTTACAATTAAAGTTCACATATGCATCTGAATGTGAGATGTAACAATTTTCACATTCTCTGTATGTTTTAATAACAGGCAACGGGGTTTTTATGACGCTTTCGTTTTCGTTTTAAGTGAAAACAACTGCGCAGTAAACACAGATACTGCAACTGCATACGACTATGTTATCTTTAAGTTTTCATTCGACTTGCCAACTTTGGTTAGTATAGCTAGTATATTTTACAATATCAAAAGTGCGTTCCAACTCAAAAGCTTTATAATTCAAATATTAAACACATGGACATAATTATCGGCGAATTAGTAGCTGATCAGGAAGTTTAGCATTAATAAACATCTTTCCAAACTCCAAAGTCCATACTTGTGACCAAAACATGCTCTTGGTCAGATTTCAAATAAAAAAATCTGTTTTCGTTTTTGATCGTAACGATCAAAGCGACGTTTTCATCGAATATTACCCCTCAATTTTAATATCAGATTTCGAGTTTTATTTATCTAGGAAACTATACTAGGACAACTTTAATTCACGAATTGGAATAATTCGGGAGAAAATAAAAGGAATTTTCTTAACGAACGAAACAGTTCTACACATCTACGTTGGTAAACACATCACGCCACGTTTAATTAAAACGTGCCATTCGAGATTTATTTTTCGCATCAAGATGTTGACACGAGGTCAAGAGAACTGCAGCTAATTGCGCGCGGGTTGTTTACCGAGTGGTCGTTTTGCAAATAGCAAGAAATTACGAAACGTTTGCACATTCTTTGTTGCTTAAGTGTTGGACTTAATCTTATACAATGTACAGCAAAATTCTCGCGACTCTCTAAGTATCACGACGTGCCGACATGCGCAGTTGAGATGAAACGTACATCAAGACAAAACTCATACTGGGCGACATTGCTCAGTAGTGCACCGCACTGAGAAAAACAACATATCTAGAAATTGCAATATATAGAAACTATATCAAAGTTTCTGTGATCACAGTAGGAATTTTGCATAGATAAGTTCTATAAGTTTTGAAGGATTTGTAAGAAACTATGCTTGAGGGAACCGTGTTAAAACAACCCGAGTCAGTCAGAGGACGGCGGATCCAGGATTTTTCGTACGTTAGTCAAAGTTTTCGGATGTACAATCTAGTTTCGCGAGCGGCGAATGCGCGAGGCACCTAGGGGGGGGGGGTTGTCCCCCAGGAATTTTTATATTTTTAAACCTCAGAAACGCAATTTGCATCACTTTAAAGGAAGCTTCAACAAAAAATTAACTTCATGAAATGGGAGATAATTATAGCAACTATCAGTCTGACTGACTCTCACAACTCGCTCCTTAGGGAAAGTAAAGGAGAAGTACTTGCAGAAATGTGATAATTGTGGAAGATGTTTCATTTTATCAAATTACGGCCATTGCTAGTATTATGTTTAACTATCTCATGATAGTACTACACTAATTTTTGTTGCCTAATAGCCTTGTTGAATCATTGATCACTTGACTAGTAATCACTACAGTGTCATATTACTCAAACAAACATATATCAATATTAATAGCCTAAAGTCTTAACATTCATCGATAAAACCTGACCTTTATATCCTATGTATACTGCATTAATGCGTTTATATAGCCAGGTTATCCTCCATATTAATAGCCTTCTGAGTTCTGACGGTCCTTCAACCGCAGAATTACAAATATGCAAATTTGTTGTGTAAATCA